CCTCTTCACTCCCTGGCCGCAACAATGACCCGGTTCTATAGTGAATGTCCTAGAAGCTTTACAGTATAGTAGGTGGCAATTTCAAATGGGTGCGAATCATTGTTCTACAGAAATGCAATACACATATGTGACCTGGTCTACGGAAAGGCGGCTTAGGTGTCAAAAAATCAATTTTCACTTTTTGGTTGATTCGGATGGAAGATGAGATGCTTTTTCACGTGGTGAAAAGCAGAAAATCCTAACTTGCTTAGAAGTACAAAAACGTCACTTCTTCAGTGTTACTTTTTTAAATGTTCCACACTAGCAACTTACACGATGAACTATAATAATATTCCGACCAACAACAACACTTACTGGACCAACAACAACACTTACTGGACCAACAACAACACTTACTGGACGTCCGGCGCGGAGAATGCTTAATGAGATAATGAGAAACTGACGAAACGAGTTGCTTACTTTTAACAGCTTTTTCACAGAAAACTAGTTTTCGCACGTAAGCTCCCTTTTCGTAGACCAGGTCACATATACTTATTTCAGACGAAATACCTTAAAAGTTTGAACGCGTAATAATATTGGAAAATCACATCCATTGGGCCAATTGCAACGCAGGAGCGTTCGATATACTCAATGGTGCGACAGGTCGATTTAATCTGACCTTCACGACCCCTTTTCTCACTTGGCTATTTTTAGTAATAGCTGGACTTCAGCACCACTTGGCAGCACGTTTTTGAAGTAGTATTGCATACATATTTAAAACATTAGCCAAATCGGATCATAAATAAGATTTTTAGTAATAACTCAACTACAGCGCCAACTGTCGGATTAAATTGTGAAACTAAACCATCCAGAGACCCACTCAAATACACAAAAAGTTTCGTTAAAATCCGTACAACCATTTAGGAGGATTTCACTCACAAACACACCTACAGAAGAATAAAAAAATTCATTCAAAGATAGCTAAAGGTCGGTACGTTTGTAGGCCTCACACCCCTTTTCAAATAGCCCAAATTTTCTCCATGAGTATGGGCTTGATTTCAACTATATACATATCTCCATACGAAGTTCCGGTACTGTGCCATGAATACTTTCAGAGATATGCAGTATAAAAATTCGATTTATATGGGAGGTTCCACGCCCCCCTTTCCAATAGTTCCAATTTTTCTCCAAGAGTATGCGATTTATTGCGTACATCTCCCTACAAAACTCTAGAACTCTACCAAAAAATTTGCAGAGATAAGCAGTATGAAAAAATCGGATTGTAGGGGAGATGTCACACCCCTTTTTACAATAGCTAAAATTTTTCTCCAAGGGTATGCGATTGATTTCGTATATCTCCATACCAATTTCCAAAACTCTACCATGCACACTTTCAGAGATATGTTGCATGAGAAATTCGGTTTGTATGGGAAGTGCCACGCCCCCTTTACATATAGATATTTTTCAGCCTAAAACCATCCTTGGGACACGTGCGGCAGGTGGCAGTTTCAAAAAAAGCGGTTCAGCCGCTCTCGAGCCTTGCGAAAACTAACAAACGGCTTTCTAAATATGTATTAGTTGAGATATATTATATATTATAATTATATTTTGACAGTATCCGTTGTTTCTGATTGGCGCAAAAAAATCTTGCCTAGTGCCGAATTCGCCCCTTGATATGGTCATTACTTAAAGCTATTTGTATTCGAAATTGCATGAAAATTGGAAAACAGGTATCTATAAGGTTATCCAGGCAAAAAGCTACCTTCGTACCGAATTTTAAGCAAATCGGACCATAAATACGATTTCTTCGAACAGATCGGTCCCTGGTCCACTTCTCGGACAAAATGGATCATATATGCTAATATATGCTAAAAAACTACTTACGTACCGAATTTTAAGCAAATCGGACCATAAATACGATTTTTTGGAATAGATCTGTCCCTGGTCCACGTCTCGGAAAAAATTTATCACATATGCTAATACATGCTAAAAAGCTACCCGCGCACCGAATTTTAAGGAAATCGGACCGTAAATTCGATTTTTTCGAATAGATCGGTCCGTGGACCACTTCCCGGTAAAGATGGGTCATATATGCTAATATATGCTAAAAAGCTACTTACGTACTAAATTTTAAGCAAATCGGACTATAATAAGATTTTTTGGAATAGACCGGTCCCTGGTCCACCTACCCGAAAAAAGTAAAATTTTCTTAGCCGAAAACATGGTGGTTACCGAAAGGTATTTGTATACAAAATTTCATGAAAATCGGACCAGCCGTTCGCGAGATTACCTGTAACAAAAAAGGGACTTCTCTTTATATAATTAGTATAGAATAGATAATATCTAATTGTTGGCAACCGCTGTTTAAACTTTCGTTCAATTTCTTATATTTAGCCCTAAGATACACTTTAGTCAACTCTGGGTTGTGAACCACGTTGCGCACCCATTCTTCTTCTTATAAGTTTTCGCCTTATTACTCTCTCTCTCCTTTTTGACATTTGTCAAAGCGCTATCTAAAACAGCCTTTTTAATATTGAATTTAACAAGCGAAGGAAGGGTGCAAAACTGCGGTAAGAATTATAAAATCTAACCTAATCATTGTATGACTTAATTAATAATTCTTACAGAATAAACGTACATATCACACATCAAGTGTTATCGCTTTGTTTAACGCAAACCCTTTCGTTTTGCCTAAGTCGCAGTCGCGACATCTTTATTCGCAGTTTTGTCTAATAAGTTCACGACAATGGACGATAATATTGAGAAGCGCCGAAGCCCCCGGCTCAACAAAGCTGAGTCAGGCGAAGTACAAGCCAATTCCGCCTCGACTGACGCCATCATATATACTGCCGCCGCCGCCGCCGCCACCGCCAGTACCAACACCACAACCACCGCCAATTCATCAGAATCAGTAAGTTCAACGCTGGAAATGCAGATGCAAATCGCTACGCTTCAAAGACAGCTGGAAGAATCACAGGTAAGGTTAGGTGAACAAAACCGCCTTTGTCAGGGGTTAGAGACTGCACTGCGCAACTCGGTGCATAAAGCCAATTCTGCCCCTATTAACGCCACCATAACAACAATACCCAACGTGGCGCAATCTTTCGCGCCTGCTACAGGTGCTGCAGTACATAACCTCACAAATTTACCAGGCACCTCACTTTTACAAAATTTGCCGGCTAGCGGAATAACGAATAACATCACCCCATCTACTATAAACAGTTATGCGTACACCGCAACGTCAACTCTCGCGAGCAGCGCTGCCATGCCGCCAGCGCAGCAAGTAACTGAGAACGGTTATATTTTTTCTTCGCTGCCGACGTCAACTGCAAGCATCGCCTTCGCGCCAACATATGCAATAAAGGGTCAAGTGCCCGCTATACCAAGAGAAGCCACGGAAGCGTCGATTTTTCTCAAACATCTCGCTGGCTACAGGGACCGAATTTTTTGAGATACGATGAGGATACCTGGCCTACTGAAGAAAACAATGCCAGAGCCATTGTAGAATCGGATGAAGAACTCCGCCCAAAATTCGCTTTAATTGCCACCAATAACGTCTTAATCGATTACGATCGTTTTTCAAGTTTAATACGCTTAAAGAGAGCAATGGCGTGGTTGCTTCGCTTCATTAAACGCTGTCGTAAAAGGGAGCTAAAATATCATGACTATGGACTCACTGCAGAAGAGATTGATGCTGCCGAGCACCTGTTATGCCTGCGCGTTCAATCAGAAGCTTTCGCTTCAGAACTTGACTGCATCGAACTTGGTCAAGGTGTACCAAAGGACAGCGCATTAAAACAACTTTCGCCATACTTGGATAACGACGGGTTACTTCGCGTGCGAGGCCGCATAGATGCAGCCACCGTCTTGCCGTATAACGCCAGAAGGCCAATTATACTTCCATACGGACACATCTTCACGCGATTGGTCGTTCGTTACCATCATTGCCAGAAGAAGCACCAGAATCACGAGGCGACTTTAAGCAATATTCGTCGAAAATACTGGATTCCCAGAATAAGACAGCTCTTACGAAGCGTAATAGCCGAATGTTACCTCTGTCGTATCAGCAAGGCAGAACCTCACGCACCCATGATGGGTCCTCTCCCTGAAGTTCGCCTCGAGCCCTACGTACGGCCGTTTACCTATACGGGGCTCGACTATTTCGGGCCTATTTCAATTACTGTCGGTCGGCGTAAGGAAAAGCGTTGGGTCGCGCTGTTTACGTGCCTCACCGTGCGCGCAATCCACCTGGAAATCGCCCACGACTTATCGACGGACTCGTGCATAATAGCCATGCGCAATTTCATGAACAGGAGAGGGGTTCCCGCACGCTTAAGATCCGACAACGGAAAAAACTTTATAGGAGCCAACGAAGAAGCGAAACGTTTTTCTGAGGTTTTTGATACCGAACGTGTGCAAAACGAATTGTCCACCAAGGGAGTTGAATGGTTTTTTAACTGCCCCGCCAATCCGTCTGAAGGGGGTGTTTGGGAAAGGATGGTACAGTGCGTTAAAAGGGTTCTTCGACATTCATTGAAAGAAGTAGCACCGCGTGAGCATGTCTTGCAAAGCTTCCTTATAGAAGCAGAAAATATAGTTAATTCACGCCCATTGACGCACTTACCCATCTCTCCGGACGAAGAAGAGCCGTTAACACCGAACAATTTCCTGATTGGCGTGGGTAATGCTCCGAACACGCCTACGGTAAATGCCCCGGATGAAAGGATATTTGGTTTGCGCAAGCAGTGGCGCATAGCGCGNTGAACCACCGTTGCGCACCCATTCTTCTTCTTATAAGTTTTCGCCTTATTACTCTCTCTCTCCTTTTTGACATTTGTCAAAGCGCTATCTAAAACAGCCTTTTTAATATTGAATTTAACAAGCGAAGGAAGGGTGCAAAACTGCGGTAAGAATTATAAAATCTAACCTAATCATTGTATGAACTTAATTAATGAATTCTTACAGAATAAACGTACATATCACACATCAAGTGTTATCGCTTTGTTTAACGCAAACCCTTTCGTTTTGCCTAAGTCGCAGTCGCGACACTAATAGAGAGCAAAANCAAAACGAATTGTCCACCAAAGGAGTTGAATGGATTTTTAACTGCCCCGCCAATCCGTATGAAGGGGGTGTTTGGGAAAGGATGGTACAGTGCGTTAAAAGGGTTCTTCGACATTCATTGAAAGAAGTAGCACCGCGTGAGCATGTCTTGCAAAGCTTCCTCATAGAAGCAGAAAATATAGTTAATTCACGCCCATTGACGCACTTACCCATCTCTTCGGACGAAGAAGAGCCGTTAACACCGAACAATTTCCTGATTAGCGTGGGTAATGCTCCGAACACGCCTACGGTGAATGCCCCGGATGAAAANGGAGTATCTACCAACGCTGACCCGAAGAGTAAAATGGTGCCAACCAACGTTGCCCCTTAGAGAAGGTTGTGCGGTTTTTATTTGTGATCCGAATGTGCCAAGAAATAACTGGCGACGAGGTATTGTAGAGCGCGTACGCACTGGCGTGGATGGTGTGACTCGGCGTGCGGATGTGCGTACGGTCGGCGGGCTTCTGCAACGGGCGGTGTCTAAACTAGCAGTCCTGGATTTGGAGAGTGGTGAATCTGATCGCTCCACGGGGGAGGGGATTTTGGCAACCGCTGTTTAAACTTTCGTTCAATTTCTTATATTTAGCCCTAAGATACACTTTAGTGCAACTCTGGGTTGTGAACCACCGTTGCGCACCCATTCTTCTTCTTATAAGTTTTCGCCTTATTACTCTCTCTCTCCTTTTTGACATTTGTCAAAGCGCTATCTAAAACAGCCTTTTTAATATTGAATTTAACAAGCGAAGGAAGGGTGCAAAACTGCGGTAAGAATTATAAAATCTAACCTAATCATTGTATGAACTTAATTAATGAATTCTTACAGAATAAACGTACATATCACACATCAAGTGTTATCGCTTTGTTTAACGCAAACCCTTTCGTTTTGCCTAAGTCGCAGTCGCGACACTAATAGAGAGCAAAACATTACAAAGAAAACATATTTGGACATAACAATTAAAATAAATAAGGTTACCAACAAATGCGAATTCGGGATATATAGAAAGCCCACGGCCACAAACACGATAATACACTATACTTTAAACCACCCTCAACAGCTCAAAAATGCAGCCTTTAGACATCTAATTACCTGGCTTGAACGAACCCCATTGGAAAAAGAAGCTTACAGCAAAGAACTTAATACGATATACGAAAATAACGGATACAGAAAGGGCCTAGTAAACAAGATAAGAAGAGAAACAAAAACGAAGAAATCAAAAAAGATGGAAAATAATGAAAAGGCTTGGGCAGTCTTAACATATACGCGCAAAAAATTGGCTAAGGTATTCCAAAAGTATGACATTAATACAGCTTTTGGAAAGAAGCACAACGTGAGGAGGATACTACGAAATAGCGCAAACGAGGAAGACCCACTAGACAAGCAAGGTGTATATAAGTTGACTTGCGAATGTCAACATATGTAGTTACATAAGATAAACAATGCGCCTGATAAAAATAAGATATCGTGAACATATAAGGGACTACAACAAAAAAAAAATATAAAACCATCTACCACACCGGAATCGAACTTGCGACTACCATAAACAATGAAACGCAGGTCCAAACTACAGAAACAAAGAGAAAGAAAATAACTTATTTTTACCTACCTGTGAATCCATGCAACAATTAATCAAGAAGAGGTGAGCAGCTGATTTCTACATGAGGATGTACACACAGAAAAAAACTACTGGTTGAACGAAAGAATATAATCCGCTGAGACGTATGTACATAACTAAGAACCAACGACGATTTAGCACGGCTATAAATAGTGACGGACGAAATTATTCAGAACGAAAAATTACACTGAAGATGGCATAACGCCGAAACCGGTTTATCTCCAAACCAAATTTGACAAGGGATGACGTAAAATTGTTCCACATTATATCACACTCCTACCCTGTCGGAAACACTAACAACTTTAAGATATAGTTTGTATTTGAGGTTATGAGCTTTAGGGAGGGTTTAAAACCCACCCCTTGTGTGCGCTAAAGCGCCATAGTAAATTTTTTTACCTTGGAGAAAAATGTTACGGATTGCCACACAGCCCACAGCCTTATTACTAGGGAAGACAAAAACATGCACAAAAAACTTAATTATATGATCATTAAAATGACTCCAAAATATTAAAAATATGCTTGATATATGCCCCAAAAATGTATATAACGAACATTTTTTCGATTAAAGCATAAAAAGTTCTGTACATACATACATACAAAATGTATTTAACAAAGTGTGATTGAATTTGACATTGCCCTCAGAAGCACCATCCTATAAAGTCAAATTGAAAAATTTGTTTGTGAATTTTGAATCGTTTGTGTATATTTTTTGGCATAATAGTACCTTAAAAGAGGACCGACCTGAGTTGTAAATCACACCTTGTTTAATACACATTGCATACATGTATGTACGGAATTTAAAAGATAAAAAATTCTCCAGGTGAAAATATTGCCACATTTTATTGAAGTGTTGCTTCCCACAAAATATTTTTGTTGCTGATATTAAGCACTTACAATAGATGCAGAATAAAACTTCCTGCTCAATCCGCAACACATCTGGAGCTGGATTCTGTAACTGTGAGAAAATGTAGTGTATACCGAAGCTCACAACCAAAAACTCACCGAATAAAATTCAGTGAGTTTTTCGGAAGATAAGTGTACACAATTTTGACAGTTAAAACTTATTCTCTCTCTTGCTGGATCGCAAAATGAGGAAGTGTACACAATTTTGACAGCTAAAACTCATTCTCACACTTCCTGAATCGCAAAATGAAGAGTTCACACAATTTTCAGTGTACACACACAGTTACAGAATCCAACCCCTGGAAACTGTTAAACAGATTTCGCTAAAAACAAAAAATGTTGATTGAATTTTTCAATCACGAAAACCGGTTTAGTGCGAAACTTCACTATTGGAAAACAACAGTCGAAATATTTTTACGAGTATACTAAAATGTTTTACTTGAAAATAACGGGACTTTCCGTTGTTTGTCAGCTTTTTCTTTTNTGTACATACATACATACAAAATGTATTTAACAAAGTGTGATTGAATTTGACATTGCCCTCAGAAGCACCATCCTATAAAGTCAAATTGAAAAATTTGTTTGTGAATTTTGAATCGTTTGTGTATATTTTTTGGCATAATAGTACCTTAAAAGAGGACCGACCTGAGTTGTAAATCACACCTTGTTTAATACACATTGCATACATGTATGTACGGAATTTAAAAGATAAAAAATTCTCCAGGTGAAAATATTGCCACATTTTATTGAAGTGTTGCTTCCCACAAAATATTTTTGTTGCTGATATTAAGCACTTACAATAGATGCAGAATAAAACTTCCTGCTCAATCCGCAACACATCTGGAGCTGGATTCTGTAACTGTGAGAAAATGTAGTGTATACCGAAGCTCACAACCAAAAACTCACCGAATAAAATTCAGTGAGTTTTTCGGAAGATAAGTGTACACAATTTTGACAGTTAAAACTTATTCTCTCTCTTGCTGGATCGCAAAATGAGGAAATGTACACAATTTTGACAGCTAAAACTCATTCTCACACTTCCTGAATCGCAAAATGAAGAGTTCACATAATTTTCAGTGTACACACACAGTTACAGAATCCAACCCCTGGAAACTGTTAAACAACTTCGCTAAAAACGAAAAATTTGGTTGAATTTTTCAACCACCAAAAGCGGTTTAGTGCGAAACTTCACTTTGGAAAACAACAGTCGAAATATTTTTACGAGTATATTAAAATTTTTTAATTGAAAATAACGGGACTTTCCGTTGTTTGTCAGCTTTTTCTTTTTGTCAATTAAACAAACCTCGTCAGCAACCCTGCCTATCTCCGCAAAGGTATTGTCAGATGAAATTATGCGAAATAATCATGTTTATGCATTTTTATGCTTTTTAGCCAAAATATGCATTTTGTGTCATAATATGCATTTGCATATGCGTGTTTCCAGCGGAAGGTCCACCACGACAAAAAAAATAAAAGTTTTATACCTAACGTATTTACGGGCCGATTTGTCTGCTTTTTAAAATATATACTGGCTATGTAAGTAGAATCATCTTTGCATAAAATGGTCTTCCTAGGTGGTGCCAAGGTCGAGATATTTCGAAAAACCGTATTTATGGTCTGATTTGGTTCGA